GATTTTAAAAGGAACACAAAATTGCAGCAGACCTCTGCTACAGAGCTAAAGAGTCAGAGGGCTGATGGTAAAGGCCGTTTTTTTGTGGTGTTGTACGCACAAACGAACACACACACATAGACATGCACACACACACACGTACAGACACACACACACACACACACCTCTGGAGCCAAGGGGACCAGGGCTGCTTCCAGAAATAGCCTAACCCAGTGATCCAGCTCGGCTGCAGCAGAGTAAGTGCCCAGTGGTGCTGCTGCACCAGGAGGCGTTTGATGAGTCCGTGCTGTGACAAGCAGGCGCAGGAGAGACAGTGATGTGGTCTGACTCCCACTGTCACACACTCAGTGGACGGACAGATGCATTCACGGACGGACAGACCGATGCAAGGAGACAGCACGACAACGACCTGATCACGAAAACACAAAACCGCGCTGACATGCTGCTGCTTTACAGAGGTGTCGGCATTAAATCTGTTGATTTCAAATATGATGAGGAATATTTTTAGTTGACACTGGACGTTGGATCAAATTATGCTTTTTAAAAACTGTTACAACCTGAAAGTGTCTTTCTTCCCGGGTGAGTCATGTTGGACGTCACAAATGTGTCAGAAACAGAAGTGACGGAATCAGGGACACATCACACAACAGATGAAAGCACCATGGAAACCAATGACAAGGTTCTGGTGGTTACACTTTCATATCTTTTACTTCAATCCCTCGTTTGACTTTAACAGTGACTGAACATCAGTCAAGGAACAGAAATCCCTCATCTTCCATTTCATCTGCGCCGTTTCTCGTTCATTGTATTTTCTGTAGGTAAACAAATCAAAAACCCAGTGTAGGTGATTGATCAGGGGATGTGCATCTTCAGGGTTGTTAGTTTGGACGGGGATTATAATTACTGGCTAAAACATATTTGTATGGACGTAGCTTTAAAAATCTTTACTGGGCCACTTGTTATTGCTGTTCTGACACCTATGATCACTCGCAAACAACAATCATGTACTCGAGAAGTCGGACTCTGTGGTGTGGCAGGGCTCTCGTCGTGTCTCTGCCTGGTGTGAGGACAGTTCAGCGAGCGCTGCGGGGACATGGATCAACAGGGAAGATCTAAAGACGGAGATCATGTGGAGATTCACTGAGGTGCAAAAACCACTTTACCTGCATGGCCAAAGTCGTTGGATGGGAAGTAACAGAGTGGTGTTTATGATTATTATCAACGATAGTGACCAGGAAATAAAATGGATGTACAACACAACATCTTCTGTTTGACCATAAATCGCCTGATAATCAGCGCGCTGCAGCTTCCTGGTCTCTGCTGTGTCCAGCGGCGCATAAATCACAGTGCAAGCAGACTCCTTTACTGTCGACTCCAGCATCCCCCGGCCCTTTGCCAGACCCGTCAGACAAGTTTATGGGCCTGTTATGAATAAAGGAAGGAGAACAACGGATGACAAGAGAAAGGAGAGAAGGCTGAGGGAGGAGGAGGAGTAGTGGATGTGGAGTGAGAGATGACAAGAGGAGCTAAATCACAGATACGAATCAGGTCACAGGAAGCGGCAGCCAAGCTCGTCTGGACCAAAAGAAACGTGAAGCAGAACAGAAGAATGGATCGCACATCACAGAGGGGCCTTGTTCTCTCGGTCTGCGGAGAGAACACGAGCACCAGAGGAGTGTTTGTTTTGCTTAACGATCACACCATCTGCTCGGTATTTACTCAAACTGTCCCAGGTCGGTTTGAGGAGGCAGGCACTGCCCCTGAGAGGTGAGAAATTAGTCTCCGCTCACAGTGATCACTGGTTTGCTCTCTTTATGCCACAGAGTGAATCATTTAGGCGAGATATTCTTAGCAGAGCGACGCGGACACTCGGTGTGACGCATCTGAATGGGGAATTTAACAAGTGGAAGACAGGCAGGTCCTCAAAGAGAGAGAAAGAGCTTTGCATGAAATACTGACGCTCATCAAAGAGTCATCAGGAAGACGAGTAGAGGGACGAGATGAACTGCCGGGGACAATTTCTGTGTTTAGCTGGTGGTTTGAGAATGTTCCCAACTGTTCCAGTTTTACTAAAGGTAAATAAATGATGTGTAATTCTTTTGTTCCTGTGAGGTTTTGACGCAATGCAAAGCTGCTTTGAACAGAATAGTTCAAGGGAGACGATCATAGGACATGAGGAAGAAATTTTGAGGAGAGAAAATGAAAGTTGGTAAGAAACTAAGGGCCTCTATAGATGGTTTTTTTAGACATGAATTTGCCTGAAGCAGGAGACAGGACGTGACGTATAATTTCTCTCACGGAAATCACACGTTTTTGTTTTGAGCACATCAACACCTCTGTCGGACCGTCACAGACCTTTTAGTACGTAAAGGCAGCACAAATAAGCGCTGAACAGACAAAGTTATACGGGTATTTAATTGCTGAAACAATTTATCGCACAAAAAAATATGTATTCATTTCATTCATCTATTCGGCAAAGACAAACCAGTGATTCCAGCTTTTAACTTGTGAAGGTTTGCTGCTCATCCTGTGAGGATCATACGTCAACTTTTATTCTCATCATCTGCACCAACAGTTTACAGCAGTAGAAGTATTTTACATTTAGAAAGCCTCTTGTCTCTAACCGGTCCACGGTTCTTTCACCTGTGAGGACATTTCATCTCCATAATTCAGAAGCCGGGTACACAAGCTTCCTGGTCACGATCCGAAAACCACATTTCATCTCCAAACAAAAAGGTTGAAAGCAAAAATACTGCAGCTGACAGCTCTGCGGTTTTTGCCGGCCAGGTATACAAACATATCTTCTTTCTGTATCTTTTTCTCTCACCTGCCTTCTAGTCAAATTGCTCGTAATTAATCACCGAAGCCCAACTGAAGACAGGCTATTAAGAAAAGACGGGAGAAAAACAATCTTCTCTAGAGATAAGCAGAGAACGGTGAATGACTGTGATGAGTGTATAGAGATGTAGTAGATGAGGACAAAGTGCTAACCACAACTGACAGGTCTGGTGACTGAGGCAGGAGAGAATTAATGAGGACTTCAAACTAAGTCAAAAACTGATAGGACATTACAAATGGATGAAGATTTTTAATTAACTCTGAATTTGCTTGCACATCTAAATGTTTCAGCTCATGGAAATTGTTCAAACTGCACAAGCTTTGCTTCAAATACTCAGGGATTAAATAATACGAAGGGCTCCATATGGACGAGCTCGCGTCACTTCTCTCAGCTCATCACCTTCACACTTTGTCTTCTTTGCCAAGTCATCTCATATGTTGATGAGTGAACACACTCCACCAGCTCTTCCCTCTGTCACGGACATGTAGAGCAGTATTGATATACCGCACACCATGAAAATGCCAACAAAGCTGAAAGTAGAGTAAAGCTCTGGGCGCTCTGCAGTCAGTGTCAAGGCTGCCAGGACGCCACAAATATCTGCTGAACTCACTGCACCACAGTCCCACCTGAGACCACGGCTCTGAAGACACAGGCCGTGCAAAATGCAACGCAGCTGTGCGGCTGAAGTCACCGAGGACGAACTCTGTCCACGTTTAAAATCTTTTATGACTTAACTGCGGTTTATGAGATCTTTTGAAGTTTTATCTAATTCTAATCTGCACAGGCACCAAGCGCCTGGGTGCTTTTGTAGCATCACTTCATGCTGAAATGTAACCATGGTAACCTAAAGACAACGTGACTGTGATTCCAGATCCCAGCAGCAGATATGTGGTGACTGCAACTGATCTTAGACCAGGTGTAATAGAACAGAATTGTCCTTTCACACAGTCTCAGCTTCTTTACTCCCGTACTGTGCAGACACTTTAAAAACCAAAAACACTGAATCAAACCACCTGTCTGCTTTGAATTTGTAAAATACCGTCATTCCTTCGACACCCACCTCTTTGACCTCCAGCAGCCGACCCTGGTACTGACTCTTGGCCCGTCGAGCCGCAGCCGGAGATTTGTGGTGGGTGATGGAGACGATGGTGCCGGGTGCGGCCGTGTGGCCCAGGTGCCTCTGGGAACCCGGCGATGAGGATGGGGTGAGGTGGGGGAGCAGGGAGAAGCTACGGGTCCGACCGGAGGACGAGTAGCCCTGGAGGAGGGATGGAGGGAGGGAGAGGGTGACTCAGAATGCACAGCAACATCATAAGCTTTTAATGTTGTAAACAGATAAAGTGCTATTAGCTATTTTGATATCTTTTATTAACAGGCTAAGATTAGCCATTAGCACTGTTCTCGGTTCTCGGATTTAAGAGCGATGCTGCCCTTCACTGTAAAACAATCAAATTTAAATGATGCTGTTTTTTTAAACGAGTCTATCAACCTAACAATCATTACTCACAGCTGGCAGGGAGTCAATGTTCTGCTTATCTACTTGAAGAATGACAAAATAAACAAGTACTGCAAGAAATAAAACAATAAAACAATTTTTAAAAAGCCCAGCATCATCAATAGGATGATTATTTGTGTACATGAAATCATATTTATGTGCCTGCATCACTTTACGTGTGTGTGTAAATACCGTGGTTCACAAATACTAAAACTTTTTGGAAAACAAACGATGCGTTCTTCTGATTTTATAACCTTTTTGTCAAAAGGTTCAATATAGAGCAGTTCATTATTCATTTTAATTATATGTGCAACTTGGGCGGGTAAAGGTTCATAACATAATGATTTTATGACTGAAACAGAGACTTAACACCGAAACAGGGTGTTGCTGTTTCAAGTTTCACATGCGTGGTCAGAAATGTGTTCTGAGATGTGCGACTGTAGCCGCACCCATCAGTGATGTCACTGTTCACTGTTGATCACATGTACGACGCTGCAGGTGCAAGGTTGAATCAAAGAGTTCTGCAGAAGCAGGATTTTTCAGGGGGTGTTGTGCAGCTACGTTTGATGGATTATAACAGTAGTTTTGGTTTCTAGGTTTGAGAATTGAGTTTCATAAAAAGGTAGTCATCCATTATGTTGTTTTGTTTCCCTCTGTGCCAAAGCAGAAGTCAGATCACATCCTTTATTCTGACGCCGCCTGCACTGCGCCTGTGTGACTCTTTCCTCTTCAGCTCGCTGACCTGAGCGCTCACACAGGCAGCCGTGTCAGATGAGCATCTCTCTCCCTCTCGTCTGTCCTCATACTCCATTAGTTTACAGCAGCGCAGCGAGAAAAGGCACCAGAGATTCATCCTCCAGAAGACACACAGAGGTCTGGTCACTGCAGCCGTGAAAATAAAATGGATCCAATAAACAACTTCCACACCAGCGCACTGCTCACCAAGAGGGACGCAACATGCATTTGTCATTTTGCAGAAACGCTGCCAGCTCTGCAGTAAAACAGGGAATCAAATCTATGGCTATTGTGCGGTTGTAACATGTCACATCATTATTTGGGACAATAACTTGATTGTTATTCTGCTTGTTTGAGTTGTTTTCTGGGCAAAAACATCACATTTATTCAAACATGTTAATATATAAGTGTCAGAGGTTAATATAACTGCAAGAACATTGTCCTGATTAGATTAGCTGCAGCCAGACAGTAAATAAAGCGAGTTATAGTAGGTGGGTCCTTGTGTAATCATTTTAACAGAGAATAATCAGCTTACATGAGAGAACACTGTCGTATTGTGCGAGGCTAAGCCACGAGTCGTGAGTAAGCAGAAAAGGAGCCGTGCTGAGAACAGATCGACACTCTTGAGGTTTTGTCCTCTAAAACTGGCACAGAGCCCCGAGAGTTTCCGTAAACCGGAAGACGTCCGACCGAGAGGACGAGGAAAAGAGGGGCAGCGATGGATAAGTGCAGGTGTGAGCAACGCAGAAAATATAAGTGCTATAAACTGAAACTCAGGCCTAATCACATCACACAGCAGTGGGTCCAGCTGTTTTTTTGGCTGTTTGTGACTCCTTTAAAATAAAGCAAATCTGATTGCGACCTCATGTCACAGGATCTGGAAAGTCATTTGCCTAAATTTAAATAATAAGACCCAAATTATCTTCAAACAAGAGAATTATTCTAGTTTACAGTAGAAACTTGTTTCAAAAACGTTAGAGAGTAGACTTATAGCTGTGAAATCAGCCTTTACAATTTTATATTTCAAATACACTTATCACCTAAATTTTTGTCCAGTGGATAATTAAGGGACTGCTGTGACTTAAGTTCTCTCTTGGTATAAAAAAAAAAACGGTCTCTTCTTCACAGGTGCTCTGTGGTCACTGGAGTGTGGGCGGACTTGGCCCCGTGTGAGGCAGCGTGGGTCGACCGTACAACAGTCAGCTGCTGACCTGTCATTTTCTACACAACAGGGAACACAACTAATTACACACGTTTCAGCGAGCTGTTCAGGAACAACCTTGGTTCAGGGACTCGAATATAGTTTAATGATTGATTGTACAAAGTTCCAGTTATTGTGATTCTGTGATTCTATGGGAAAAGCCTCTGGTTTCTTTTTTCCACCCATATTTTAGCTCAAGCTGAGTTTAAGGCCCAGAAAAGAAAAGCACAGCAGTGGAGCATGAGCTGTGCAGCAGCCACAGAAATATGCTTTAGTCAAGCAGAAAGTAAACAACATTACCAGAAACTCAAAGTTCACGGTTTGACTCATGTGCCCTTCCTGTCAGGAGTGTGTGTGTGTGTGTGTGTGTGTGTGTGTGTGTGTGTTTGTGTGTGTGTGCAGTTTCAGCATTACAACAAAAACAGCAAGCTCGTGGTTCAAGGCTGATTTATCAGCTCGATAACCTACAACTACCCGACTGAGCCGCCCCGTCTCTCCACTTGCAGCGAGCTCCCCGCCACGCCTGTGGGGGGTGTGGACAAAACAACAGCAACAACTGTAAACCGACGTCCTGGGTCCTTGACAAATACCTCAAATGCCTGTAATTTAGTGTCTCCTACAAGGACACATGATTGTAAAGCCACAGTGTTCTGTCTGAAGCTATCACAGGTTTTTTCCTTCCTGCAGCGGTGACACTGCTCCACCATCACAGGACACATGATCCAAAGTCTGTGTAACTGTGCAAAACTCAATTGTTTGTGGAATGAATCCGTCCCATATTTACTTTTATATTTATGTTTACTTGTTTATTACTTTTAAACTAAGACTTTGATTTTGTTTTAGAGATTATGACCATTTACTCCTTAGGAAAATGCAGATTATAGGTGCATTTTTATATCCAGTCGAAGATTTCAACCTGCACCTATTTGCCGTGCTTATCACTGCACCACCGTGTCGCTGCCCCCTGCAGATTTATCCACAGATGAATAAGTGTATTATACAAAACGCTAAAAGAAAACTAGCATCTCACCAGACTGAACAAGATGAACTTCAAAATAAAGTATAGTTTGAAATATGCATTTACTGCACCTGCATCGATCAGCAGCATAAAATGAGTCAGCGCTCTTTCGTACAGTTTCGGACCCTATTATGCGATAAATAAATCCTGCTTAAATTATTCTGCCCAAGCTCCCGTGATCAGAGACGGTGCAGAGCCTCTACCGCTGGCAGCCTCATCACCAGAGTAGCTGCTATAATGATCGGAGAGGCAGACAGTGCAGCTCAGGGAAGGATTAGACCACAGCAGTGGGTATCGTCATAACAGCTGCTGCTGTGGAAAAGCCCCACAGTCACCGAACAGGAACAAAACGCCCACTCTGCTCCGCAGGGCAGAGGAGAGACAAAAAAGACAGAGAGAGACCGTCTTTCTCCTTCCACTTTTTCCTCGCTTATCCAATTTTCTCTCATCTTTTGATTGCTTTTCTCATCACGGCTGAGCAGAGTAATTGGACTTCCCCCCCTCGCTCCAGCTGTGCAGCAGTTTCAAGAGTTGAGGAGATATATACGTGTTGAATAAGCGAGTCGGCAATGAGGCATTATAATGAGGCTGTTGCATTTAATTGTTTAAAAAGACACATGAAAGAGTGGGGGGGGGCTTTTCAGCACGAGGGAGGAAATGGACATTAGAGGACGGACGGAGCGTTCCCTTTCATTTCCTGTCTGAAGGTGAAACTAAGTTTGTGAAACAAAAGTGCCGAGACATCAGGTGCTCTGAGAGTGTGTGTGTGTGTGTGTGTGTGTGTGTGTGTGTGTGTGTGTGCGTGTGTGTGTGCGTGCGTGCGTGCGTGCGTGCGTGCGTGCGTGCGTGCGTGCGTGCGTGCGTGCGTGCGTGCGTGCGTGCGGAGACCCACCAGCACCTCCTGGCCTCCTCCTGCTCTTTCCACACTCAGGTGCTCATCTGAGCCCTTCAGTTTCCTCACCTAAAATCAAACACAGAGAGAGAGAGAGAGAGAGAGAGAGAGATGGAATTTCATCCCAACAGGAAACAAGTGGACACTGAAAGGTTTAAGAAATGAATGAACTCTACACTTGCTCTTATACTGATGAAGTCACGTATTTTTCTACAATGATAAACGTCAGTGGCATGAAATCTAATCTTTACATGGCGTCAATATACACGAGACACCAAATAAACATCAGAGCACACAAAGTCAGAACTACCAGCAGCTCAACAACATCAGCACGTTCATTCAAACGTTCATTCTGCAGCAAAGACCAAGAGTACATCCTCCCTTAACAAATGTAAACAATCAACCTCATTGGAAAAGTTTACGATGGAAATGATACATCCTGGATTATTTCTCTCCCTCCTCGTGAGCTGCTGATTCTCACATTGTCACGAGCTGTGGTGCAGCTCGATAACAAGCCTCATTCTCCACTGGATCAGGCGAATGGAGAAACAACCCACAGAGATAAAGTCAGCACATGTGCACACTCACACATAAAGACACACACACACACACACACACACACACTGTCTAATCCCTTGAAACCCACGCTAAACCCCAAAAATGCACATGACTAAATATTAATCCATGCAGCCCATGTTGAAAAAGGAGTGGTTGTGGATAAATGTAGTTAAACTACGTCCAACACACTAATCTTTCAGAAATAAGCCCACAGAGAGATATGAGGACGACAGTGACACCAGGGACATTTAGCGAACCACTCGTGAGATGGATGCATGCTACCATATTTACCTAAATCGCCTTCTGTCGATGGAGCAGCTAAAAATACTCTCGAATTAGACAAGTTTCACCTGGTGGGTGGAAACTCAGCTCTTCACTCCGTGCAGAAGAAGCAGTGCTTACAAAGCCCCACATCTTTATGTTTTTTTTTTTTT